CAGTTGCAGTTGACACTGGACACATATGCAAACACTTTTGTTTCTCAGACTGTGACGTCATTCAAGACGCCATGACACTATTCAGCGTTTTCAAGGGACATTTTAATTGTTTTTTTTAAATACAAAATACGTAATGAAAAAATTGCTTTTTCTTTAAAATATAGATTTATTGGGATAAAATAGATATTAAAGTATATAATTAACCAAGTTTTCAAATTGAGTCAACTAGCCTATTGGTATGGCCTTCAGACTGCTGATGTTTGTTAGTAGTCTAACCAGACTTGGTATAGATGGATGGTAACCACCATCCACCAGGTTCTGCCGATTTTGGCCGTGTGACAGATGTGTGGAGTTATTATTTCTCTTTTAACAAGACTGGTAAGAAAGAAATAATTTTAATATTGGTCTCGGTAGAAGTAAACCAGTTTGTCGTTGTAAGGTTATCAGCAACACCCCCACATATGGACCGAGGACGTTGATATTTTCGTATATTTTTAAACAATATCGCAAAAAAATTATAAAAAGCTATTATTACTGATAATTGACTAGTCACGTATTTATTATAATATTTACTCATCATTCTTATCTGGTTAGTTGATGTCTATGTCCTAACGGCCTCTGCAATCACAGAAGAGTCATACGGGTACTTATACTGCTATGACTTTTAGAAATGAAAACTTTTGAACAACAAACAAAAGAATGTATTTTTTGAGATGGAAAGCAACCATTGAACTCGCGACACTGTTACCGTTACCGACACCTCTGTGTATAAGTATCTACATATATTGGCCCCGTTTACACGAGAGTTGTGTTTGGGTTGAAATACATTGATAGTATAATATAAACATATATTGTGTTATAAACGTACAACATAGATATATATATTCATGTCGGAAAAAAACCTGTTTTATCGAAAAAAAAAATGTTCAAGTTTTAACTTCTGTCGGCACTCATGGAGTCATCATCACATCACATCAACAGCCTTTAATAGTCCACTGCTGGACATAGGCCTCTCCTTAGAAAGGAGGTTTTGGCCTACTATACCTCGCTGGCCAGACGGGTTGGTATAGGGTTTGTGTCAAGTTTTCCTTCTTTTTGCAGTGCTGGTGTCCTGCGTTGTTTTGCGCCCTTAGTCGCCTCTTACGACACCCACGGGATGAATTGGGGTAGTGACATTCCGTATTCTTAATCCGTCACTACACGGAAGTGCCACTCATGGAGTGCCACTGTTTTTTTCCCATAGAAGGGCAAAGGAGCAGACTAGTCACCTGATGGTAAGTGGCTATCGCTGCCTATAGACACGTGCGAATCAAGAGTCACAAATACGTCGCCACTCCTTGATTTAAACCCCCTCCCCTCTCCTCCCCTCCAACCATAATTAAGAGAGAAGGATGTACTCTTAGCGTGTTGTACTGATAGTTAGAGACAAACCAAGAAGATTTATTTTATTTTATGTTCTCCAAAATAAACTGTACGAACTCGAAACATATTTGGAAAACCTCTTTTGTAAAATGCTGGCCATCAAAATTTATAAAAATTGCAGAAAATTATTCATTGCAATCAATTCGCTTAGATAATGCCTCCGAGTTCTATGGTCACCTGCTTTTGAATTAGCTAAACAACGCTCAGGGCTATGGGCACGTTGGAAGCTGAGCGCACGCAGTCAATAAAAATAGAGGATGCTATTACCGTAAAACGAAACGTAATTAGCGATTACGGTCACGCCACAGGAAATATAACAGAACATCACGAACACTATCCTTTAAAAATATAATTTAAAAAATAACAAATACTTTTCTTTACTCTTTTCTCATTTTTTTAAAGTATCTCTATCTTCAAGGTGCCTACACCACGGTGAATTGTACGTAGTAAACTGTATTCTGCATTCTTTAATTTTCTTCTCTTAGGTGTGGTATGTTTGCTTCAAACTTGATTGACACGGAGAGTATATTATTAGTGTATAAATAATCTGTATACGGATTAAGAATACGTAATGTATTCATACCCATAAAATTTCACAAAGCATTTGATTCCCTAAAACATGGATACATATCGGAAGAACTTAAATGCCAAGGTGCTCAAATGAAATACATCAGAATCCTGGACATTATTTACTCAGGAAGCACAGCTCAGGTAAAACTCGAAACAAAGAGATATGGGTCTTAACATCAATGGCCAAAAATTAAACATTTTGCGCTTTGCTGATGAAAGTGCTACAGCGGGGCTGTCAGTGAATACAAGCAAAACAAAAGTAATGACTAACGCTCAACAATCAGATTCAGATACTATAATGATTAACGAGAAGGAAATAGAGTATGTTAATGAATACATATGTGGCGACTTCCACATACAAAGAAACAGAAACAGAATGAAAGTGTGCGAGAACAGCATCGAACTAAGTAAGAAGAAGTGACAGAGTGAAATTGGAAACAACTAAAACTTAAACTACATTCAAATACGCCAATCGTTAGTCGAAGGTTAAAATGGCGTTGGGCAGGACATATATTACGAAAGAAAAGTGGACAAAAATAATAACAGAGTAGTGTCTTAGGGGCATCAAAAGAAATAACGGGAGACAGTGTAAACGTTGGCGGGCGCTAAGTGGACCCGAATAGCTAGTAATCGAGCTGCATGGAGGTCCTTAGCGGAGGCCTTTATCAAGCCAAGCATCATCAGACAAGCTACTATAAAAACCATAACTAGGTGTAACAAGTATTAATGTAAATAGTGATTAGTATAACATGTAAGAACAGTAATTTATTTTATTTTCATTATTGTTTGTTTTCAATATGTATATAGGATATATATTCAAATTTACAAAAAGAAAATATATTTAATTCTTCATTCAGTCAATTTAATTTTCATAGTACAAGCTTTCGAGTTCAAGTTCGAGGCCAAATGGTGATGTATGTGAAAAGAAAAACTAATGTCACGTGTTGAGCAAAACGTTCAGGTACATTTAATTATTTTAAACCCATAATTTAAAAAAATGTTTTTCTTAGAGTATATTTTTCTAGATTTTAATGAGATTCAACACTGTTTTAATTTTTAGTTATTTTAAAGAAATTTTTTAACGACTGGTAGATTTATGATGCACACACTCATTTATTTCGACGGCGATGTTCTATCTAGACATGTTAATAATCTAAGGGACACTGCATAGAATAACTCAAATAATTTATAAAATGCACCTAAGGTAGACGTTTTAATGAATGAGGGTTATTGTACCCATTAAAGCAGCTAATGTTCATTAATCCCAATATGTAGTTGATCCTTTTGGCTGTTTTTAAATTAGGTTCCTCTTTTGTTAAATCCATTTTTTGTTGATTTTTATTACATTTGACATTTTTTCGTATACGGAAACATGAACCTAGTGCCTAGTGGTTAAGGCATTGGACTTGCGATCAAGAGGTCGTGGGATCGAATCTAGACCAGTACAATAACGACGTGAACTCACTCCTTATACAAGCAATTTAGCTTAGCTGGAGGGATTAACGGGAATACTAGTAATTTCGGTTTCTATTAAGCCTTTAAAAAAAAAGGGAGATCTAGTTCAGTTCTTTTGAATATCATTGTTTTGCATAAAAATATGTGTAATAATTGAAATCGGTATAATCACTGAAAATAAATTAAATTTTTTAACTAGATGCACTGGTAAGATATAGCCGATATAGGCGCAATAAAGCAATATATTATTGGAAAACACGTTCAAATATTAGTAGGTTGGTGGTTCAAAAAGGGGAAACTCACCCGTTGGTGAGATTTTTATAGGGTAAATAACCACCACCTAAGCCGATATTACCAATTTTTTTACTTTTCGTGTTTATTTTTTCTTACATTTCTAATGTACCTACATTACATAATAAAAGTAATCACATTTATAACTTATAGCTTTTGTTGTGTGGATGCGACTGCAAATCCTGGTATGGGGCCCACTGGCTATTGTAATATAACCATAAATCTCACCGTTACATGTAACAGATATAATGTTTCGATCCAAACCCCTTTACAGGTCCAGGATTTGGTACCTTCACCAGTAAAAACAGCTGACTTTTTTTTTTATAAAATTAGTATTACCAGAAGTCATTGGGAGGGCATTAAAGTTAATAACAATTTAAAAAATATTTAACGTTAACCGTTTACCTGAATCCGGGCCCTGCGCTTGTTACGCTCATTTAAAGTCTGTATTTGCACATAATTAACTAAGTTTAACTGGGCTAGTACTCATACCTGTAGTTAGATAAAAAAAAACTTACGACCATAAATATTTTCAAAATTCATTGTACTTTTTTATTGTCGTATAGGTATTTAATTGTACTTATTTCTTGATGTTTGAATGTCTTATCAAGTAATACGTTGAAAACGAACACGTTTAGTTTAGGTATAGAAAACCTACATGATTATTATCAATTCAGCAGTTTAAAATACAAAATCTTAGCAAGTAAAAATCATTTCGAACAACATGAATATACCAATATACTTAACGCAAATACGTTGTACCTAAGTAGGTACTTATTTATGTATGTACATATGTATTATGCCTTTAGTAGACATACTTATGTGTACTCACGAAACTCTGGCTGTCAATATACAAATTAAACGAATTTAGTCTACATATTTAAATTAAGATTATGGAAGTATAAGGAATGAATTTTGAAGTATTTTTTTTATCACACGCGGCGAGCAGTATATGCCTACAACGTTCTGTTATCTAATAGTTGATATAAAATGCAAATGTATTTCCAACGCAATAAAGTTATATTTGTATACTTTAAAATTAAAACTAGGAAAATTTGAAAAATTATAAATATTATAAATTAAATCTATCTATAACCTACGTATACGAAATAAATATGTGCCCTTTTAAAAAAAAGAACTTGATTGTTTCTGAATAGCAGTAACCCAGGTCTTTATTTTGAAATTAGAACGATACATGAGTCAATTCAAAATGTGAATGAACTATAAAATAAATAAACAAACGATGATACATGCCAACTTACCATAATGCAAAAGAGACTGTTTAAAAATAGACAAGTGGAATCACAAAAACATTCACTTCAATGTAACGTTAAATGTGCGTCACAAATATAAAAGTCCATTACCCTTTTAACCGAAAATAATTAAAAAAACGTGTTCGTTTAATAAAGTAGGATAAACTGATAAACGCGGCCGCACCATGGTACTACGAGTGTGTACTGAGATGGCACAACACATGAATGACTGCAGCAGTATTTTTGCCACTATCTACACGAATTCCATCTTTAAGCTCAAGTGATAAAACTGAATTTCAAGCGTGATACCTTCGAGACAAGAACTTGCTACACAGCTGTACGCCTAAACATATTTTTTTCTTTCAGAAGAAAGTTCCTTTTAATGTTAAGCGCAATGCCGCATTGTCGCTCGCGGTAGCCAATAAGCTCAGAGCTTGTAGTTTTATCGACGAATCAACAGTCAAGGGCGCGTTGTAATTTTGCCACCTTTTTTATTTTTGGAATATGTTATTCTTGGACGAGTTTTAAAAAGTTTAATATTTGTCATAATGTTACACACATGTGTTGCGTACATCACGTTTATGTTTATACAATAACTACCAAAGTCCGCGTCCGCGTGAAGTTTAATTCAAATGAAAATGTCCTTTTGACTCAGCCGATCCCTTTATTAAGCACTACACTTTTTCTGCGGATTCGCTTGCTTTAGCAATAAAGCGAGGGAATCCACAGACAAAATCTTAACCTGAACGGTCCCTCGGAATACCTACAAATATCCCTCAACATGATTCTCAATTCGTTTTTTCATGTAATTACGTTACCTCAGAAGTACTCAGAACTCCGTCATGTATGAACCGATTTTCAAAATTATTTTTTCATCGGGGAAGGTTTGCATACTTTCCTTATTCAATTAAATACATCAGATACGTTGTGCATTTAATGTAGATTAAAATTGCTTTTTACAGCATATCAAATGTATATTTTAGAAGATATTAGAGGTTTAAAATGCCTGGTCAAAGTGCCGCGCCGCGTTCGCCGTCGGGCTGTACGTCCGTCCCGAGTGGCAACGGCCGTCAGGAACGGAGCGATATAATTACTAGCGATCCGCCCTGCACGGGTGCAATATAGTAGAGTAATTAATTATACTATTATTATGATAGGACTATACCACAGGACATCTTTATAGGCAATATTTATGGGCCTGCTCCGACCCTGCCTGCCGCTGCGACCCGGGACGATAAATGATAAAAATGGTTACTCCGTCAATTGTGGTCCGATTTCCAAAATTCTTATTTTAATAGAAAGAGCATAGTCCAGAGGTAGTTTCATGGTCACGAAATCAGGATCTGATGAGGGGATCTCAGGGAAATCGAGGGAAACCCTCAAATTCTATAGGCACGTATTATGTGTTTCATATATTTTCTAAAGCTGTTCTAGTATTTGTGTCTGGTAGTCATTATCTCGTGTTGATGAGCTGTTAATGAAAAGTGCTACTCCTAAACGGTTAGGAGTTGGAGGATAGTTCTTTAAATACCATATGTATGTTATATATATGTGTTATATAGACTTTTAGTTGTATTCTTTCAAGTCATTTAGGTGAAGCTGATGATGGACGGTAAAACACTTAGAGGTAGGTGGGAAAGTAAAACTTTAAGATGACTGAGAAGAGAAAAGACATGCAAAGCTGAGGGTTGGATTAGCAACCTCCACTACATACCTAGCTTGTGTTAGTGTTCTAATTTAAATATTTACATTTAGTCTTAATCATTGCTGTTTTGGCTTTGTGTGGCTCTAAGCAACAAAGAGTAACAAACAACACCATTATAACGCCATCTTTACGCGACTTAGCGCAACATTAACATTGCTTTTGGGAATTTTAGGGTAGTGCCCTGAGGGGTGCGTGGTCCGGAACCTCCATGTGTTGCACCCTGGGCAACGGAGACGGCAGCGCCTGTCTCCCTAGGTGGGGGAGGCGTTGCCGCCTGCGGCCAATTCCGGCCGAGGCGGGAACGGCCCGTCAAGGGCTGTTCGGAGGGCTGCTTTCCGCGTGTCCCTCTGTTTGGCAGAGGGCATAGGGGAGAGCGGGCTGGGGGCGGACGGGTCCACTGCAGCTGGCTCTGTCCAGAGGTGGGGGACACTGGTCTGACGCAGACCACCGTCCGGCCATGTCGTAACCCTGACCGCGACAGTCAGGAATGACGGCTCTTCGAGGGCTACGAGGAAGGCAACCTCTATAAAAAACGCCCCAGGCGGACGGACCCGGTCTGGTGCAGACCCCGTCCGGCCCAGCCGTAATCCTGAATGGACAGGACCGGTGGATCTTCGGATCCGCAAGGACGTAAACCTCTATAAAAAATGCTCTAAGCCCACGTTCTGATGCCTGGCAAGGGGCTGAGTCGCTGGAGGGAGTCCAGTGCCGAAGGCGTCCCCGTCGAAGGACGTTAAACTAAAACACATGACATGAGGCCAATAATTATAATTGCGAGTCGTCATCATCTGTACATATACAATTTATATAAGTATGTAAAAATGTTAAGTTGTTTTGTGTACGCTTGATAACTCAAAAAGTTCTGCACCGATTGAGTTCGAACTTTGACACGATATACAACAAGCTTCAAAGATGTTTTTTATCGATTGTTTGCTACCACAATGTGCCACAACGAAGCGTGGCAGGGTACGAGTAAAACAAGTATTTTATAAAAACTGAATTAAGTAACTCGCCTGATCCTATTTGATCACGGCGTGGAGCAGGCCATTTAAATTTGGATAAGATACTTAGACAAGGTCTAAAACTAGGTAACAAAAATGTAGTATCAAGATAAGTGAACCCTATTCCCAGTTTCAATACGTGCATCACACCACCACAGTTATTCGCATCAGCACGAATAACATTTGAAGGTGGTCATTGTTTCGTAGTTACCTCTCGCGATTTATATGAAGCAGTTCAACCAACTACATACCTATGATTATTTACACTAGAAATGTTTTTTTTTTTATATCGATTTAAAAAAAACATCAAACCAAAACTTCCTACCTAAAAACTCTTAAAAGCATAAAATAAACTGAATTATTTATATTATTAAAAATGTGCGACTTTTCTTTCCAATTTCAATTTCCAAAAGTTTCCCTAGTGACTGAAACTTACCTAGTCTCAATAAAATTCTTAATGAAAATAGGATATAGTATATAAGATATAATATCACAAAGCAAAAGGAACTTCGAAACGACCGGGGGTCCACGCCGTTTTTCATTGCTTTTCATCGAGTGGGTGAGGTTACCGCAGAAACAAGAAGGGGGACAACAAACTGTATCTCTTGAGTCGTAGGTGTCCTTGGACGACGGTAGTCACTTACCACCATAGCCTCAATTCTGCTATTTTATTTTAACGTGCATGCCCCTGTCATTCCAATGACATGCTGCTGAGATGCCATTGACATCGGTCAAAATATCGGCATTCTACTAACAAAAAATCACAGTGTCAATAGACTGTCGACGTAGTGACAATGTCACATCAATCCACTTATCTTAATTACTTAAGTGTTGCGTTAATTGCAGTTTCATTAAGCTATCAACATAGGGTTAAGTACATAAATATTGTAAACTTTTGATTGTTACAAATTACCTGTAATAATTTATTATACCTAAGTAGTTGCGGAAAAAATGTAAACAATCATAGCCATAGTAACGGTGTTTGTAGTTTTAAGTAGGAATGCAATTGATATGAATAAAGGTATTACGAGTAATTTCTATCAATTAAAATTTATATTACCAGTGCAATACTAGTTTCAGATACCGTTACGGAAAGGAGTAAAGGTATATCCGATAGTTTCACTTATGAATTGTTAAGGGATTGTAATGGAGTATTTAGCTAGGCGTAATTTGAGTTTATTTCTGGGTTATCCGGGTGTATATTATATTTGGCACTAGTGAAGTGAAGTGAAGAGTATTTCTTAAAACGGCGAATTTATGCCAAGCGTAAATAACGGAGCAACAATCTTTTAGTAAATTAAGGCGGTGGATTATAAAAAAATACGTTTATTATCAAACTCAGATGAAATATTTGTTTATGGTTAATAATTTATCATTTATTGTGTCAAACTAAAGGCTAAAGATGTGTGATCATACTGTATTTACGAAATCTTACTAACGAATCTTAGTATGGATTTATGTTACAGATTTCTTTGTACAATGAAACAAGATAACTTATCTCTTCAGGAATTGTTATGCGATAATATTCTAGGCTATTGTGTTTTACGTCACGCACAATGTTTGGCCCCTTATATTAGTAGTTTTAGTAACTCTTTATTTATTTTATTTTTTCAAAGACAAATCCCGCACTTAGGAATATATCCTATGTCGCGGGGGACCTTACAAACATACATCAAATGGACACAAAAAATACCCAGACTCAGAACGACAATTTGTGGATCACACAAAGTGTCGTCCCACATGGGGATCGAATCCATAACACTCAGCGTAGTAGGAAGGAGTAATTCTTGACTTTGTTATTTAGTACAAATTGTTCTTAAACTAACAAAAATATCTTAACTGTGATACTTTTCATTCTAAACGGGTTATACAGGTTGTTAGGATAACGCTCCCTCAAAACAAGGACAGATAAGAGTACTTACTAAAATACCTGTCTGTTTTTCGATTAACTGTTTTCATTTCGTTTTCATTGCGTTTTTTTTCAGTAAAGTGATCATTTCGTTTTACTAACATGATGGAGCTCGAATAATGCTGATAAGACACTGTCCAAGGGTGTTCTTGAAGTGAAAACTTCTTAAGGCTCCTTGAGCATTTTTGAACATTCAAACAAAAGAATGCATTTTGCAAATTTGAGATGGAAAAAAAACTGTTACCGTTACCGACACCTTTGTATATAAGTATCTATATATATTGGCCCCGTTTATACGAGAATTGACTTTGGTTTTAAATACATTGATAATATAACTATGTTTTTAAAATATACATATATTGTGTATATACGTACAACATAGATATACACGATAGTCGGAACTTTTCGAATCGAAAAAAACAAAAATATTTTTTGTTGTAATAAAAAAAAAGTTTTTACTTCTGTCGGCACTCCCGGAGTGCCACTGTATTTTCTTTTTTTTTCATCGAGACCATCGGGACATCATCAATTATTTATTATAAGTACTATCGTCTGCCTTCATTTTCGAGAAGTCCAATTACACTGTATTTACTACCATCCAGATGATTTTACAGTTCAAGGGAGGGCTATTCTCTCTCCTTCTAAAAACAATATTAACAGTTTCTAAGCTAAGTTGACTGACCTAATGACATAATGGTCTGATCCGAAGTCCGAGGTAGTCTTTAAGTCACTTCTGTAGCTATGTACCTAAAACAATTTCTGTCTATTGACATAATATAATTTGTGCTATTGTTTTTGTATGTGGGTAAAGTTTTTGTTGCTCAAACTTTGAAGCTAAATAAATAGTAGTTAAGTAGCTTGACATACTTTTCGTAAAGTTTGAAAAAAATTCAAATTCTAAGAACATTTACGGTAGGTGATAAGATAACCGATCAGTCATGCTATTTTAATATTGTATCAAAAGACTGTCGACGGCATGTACTCGGAATAGTTTTGCAATTTTCTTATTCTCCTAACGATATAAGACCAATGGCCCGATGACTTATCACTGATACAAATGTCGCCCATTTCTTTGTAATAGTTTGGTAAACAGTACATTTTAAATTAGTAAGAACATTATATATTTAATTTTCATGATATGGCAATTTTGTTGATATCACCATTGATGACCTGTATTACTATATCGTCACTGTGAATTTATGTTAGTAGAATACCGATATTTTTACCGATGTCAGTGGCATCTCAATGCGGCGTCTGATAGAAAGTGACTACCGCCAATATGGGTAAAAGACGCAGCACCAAGTAGGTAAGGTAAAGGTAGCAAACTACTTACTTTTCCAAACCGTTCCGTCGATGGTTGAGTACATTATAATACCGTGTCATTTAAAACGATGACACATTCGTAAATAAACTGCCACCACATACACCAGCAATAAATCAGATCTCGGAGCAAACTACGCAGTATAACAGCACTGCAAAGAGATGGAAAACTTGAAACAAACCCTATAATTACGCATCTGGCCAGCGTGGTATAGTAAGCCAAAACCTCCTTTCTAAAGAAAGGCCTTTGTCCAGCAGTGGACTATTAAAGGCTGTTGATGATGATGATGAAAGCAGATCTATCTGATGTTTTTGGATTTAATCTCAATCCGTGAGATAAAACATAGAAGAATCATCAATGAGAAACAATAACAGTAAAATTATGGAATTGTCCTTTTTCGGTCTTTAGTCACAGGGAACGTTTAATTAAGAATAATTAACACCATGTCACAGTTATTATGACTAAATGAGTAGCAGCTGCAAATAGATAAACAAATAGTAAGTACTTACAAACATCGACATTGCAGAAGTAAGGGAAAATCTGTCACGTGCCAAAAAATATTAGTATTAGGTAATGTATATTATTTACTCAAACATCAAAAAGTAAAGTGAAAACAAGAATGCAAAAAAGAACAACTAACTGTTTATTTATTGATACCTTATAAGTATTCAATTAACTAACGTAATAACTAAATAAAATAGTAATAGTAATCTGCCAAACTAATTTTATAGCACTAAAGATCTCCTTCGAAGGAGGCAGCGAAGGGGACGCGGCAGAGGTCGCTAGCTCCCCAATCGCTGCCTAAGGGACACTGCGGCTACATCTTGGGGTGATGTGGCCGCTGCAAACGACCCGAGACAGGTGACACTCCGGTGCGGCCAGGGGCGTGTCATCTAAGGCGGGGCGCAGTTGCGCCTCTTACTATGTAGAGCGGTGAGGGTCGCGGCAGCATCCAGCACTAGGGGTGATCATGGTCACCCTGGGATGTGCCTCTATCATGGGGTATGGCAGGTAGGCCTCTAGAAGCCACCGATCCGTTCCTGGAGCTCCTCCCGACTGCCGTGGTAGGCCGCCGAGGGGTTTAGTGGGTAGACCGGTTCTCCGGGAGTCCCATACACGTCCTCCTTTTCCCCAACGGAGGGTATGGTGCGAAAAGCATTCCTCGCGTTAAAAAAAAAAGACTAAATAATTATAATTATCCATATTTATATTATAAATGTCAAAGTGACTTTATTTGTTTATAACGCTTTCTCGCTTAAACCACTAAACTGATTTTAGAAATTCATTCACCAATGTAAAGCTACATTAATACGAGTATAGGCTACTTTGTACCGGGATGCACGAGGGCGAAGCCGCGAGAAAAGGCTAGTACTTAATAATAATAATTTCGACCATTTTGAATGTCTTGGTTTTTTTTATTCACCGGTATAATATTATCATAGATCAAAATGTATATCATTTTTAACTTAATTGCACATATTGATGAAAAATTTAGCTTTTTGCACTTTCTACATGTTAATCATTATCTTTAAATTTTTATCTTTACATAGCATTACGGATTAAGTCTCTGTGTGTACGGATACGGAATACGGATTGTCACCACCCCCAATTATCAACTGGCTGTCGTAAGAGTCGACTAATGAAGCAAACTACACAAGACAACTGCAAAGAGAAGGAAAACTTGAGACAAGCCATACAAACCCGTCTACACAGCGTGAGATAGTAGGCCAAAACCTCCTTCCTAAGGACAGCCCTATGTCCAGCAGTGAACTTTTAAAGGCTGTATGTTGATGATGACAAAGAATTTTATTCACGTATGCACGTATCGCTGAGCCCAAAGTTGTAGGCGCAGACATGTTTACACCAATATACTTACTCGTATTACTTCTATATTTTGCCACCAGACCCGGATCTACGATGTTTTCGAAGGAGGTCAGAGTAATTGTTAGTGGCGGCTCTCTCTCCAGCGTTTAAGAAAACTTACTTAAAAAAATTCACAAATATATAAGTTCACTTATAGTGTGGGTCTGTGTGGCGCCTTTTTTTACAAGTCGACGGTGAGCCAACCAGATTCCCGTACGCTAGGCGCTTTGTGGAGCAAGTTTTTTATTTTTAATCACACTATATTGTTTTTGGCGCCCCCTGAACCTGCCGCCCGGAGCGGGGGTCCCGGTTTGCCCCTCCTAAATCCGAGGCTGTTTGCAACGAACTCACCTATTTTATACAACCTTAATTTTCTCCTGAAATGGTTTTAAGTACGTTTTAAAGATTTAGGTAAAGTATAGGCAAAGAATACATTATAATCGAACAAACAACGAGAGAGTCTTACAATAGTCGTATGTGATGTGTATTGTATACATCTGATTACATTTGAATTTGTGCATTAGCGTCATCACATCAAATAGCGTGCGCTTCCCCGGCTTCCTGTAACATATTTCCGTCCCTTTTACCAAATCACTGACAGATTGCAGGATAACGAGAGGAAAAATGCTACAAAACAAAAAGACTAGGGAAAATATAAATGATTACTTGTCTAAAGTAATCATGAAAGTGATGAAATTATTTGTACGATTGTGTTTTTGTACCCAAAGCTAGCATTACGGATTAAGTCTTTGTGTGGTGACGGATTAAGAATACGGATTGTCACCACCCCCAATTATCAACTGGCTGTCGTAAGAGCCGTCTAAGGGAGCAAACCGCCCAGTTATACCGACACGTCTGGCCAGCGTGGTTGTAGACCAAAACCGTCTTTCTAGGGAAAAGCCTTTGTCCAGTAGTGGACTATTGAAGTCTGTGTTGAAACTGCATATACAGTTACTTACTCAGTTTTAACAGTGTCTCCTGTGAGAATTATTTTCATTTTTCACGTCTTGTCGCAGATTAATATCATTTAAAAATATTGATTCAAAAACTACTTTCATGTTTTAAATAAAGGGCTACTCTTTCTACCTTGAATTCTAGTAAAAAGATAAAATAATAATCATTAATATGGCGATGGAAATATATTTTTTAATTAATACAAATCCCATAAAGTTTTTACTCAAATGTTTTTTTTCCTGTTTAAAAGTATGTTCTATGTATCAGAGCCAAGCCCGATATTGTATATACTTTTTATAGACAATAGTTGGTACGCGTGTAAGGATTGAAATACCAGGGCCATGTCAGTATGAGCGGTGCTTGTAAATCGACCTTAGCCTTGTCTTTCTTAGGAAGGTCGTCCACCTTTAATTGATACCTGAAACAAATATTTTGACAATTTGTTATTAAAGTTATTTTTACCCAATTTTTTTTTTAATTTAAACTTTTTTAAATATTGCTTAGATTAGTGGGAAAAAATGTTCTTTCAAAATGGTATATATCCCCCCCACCCTCCCCCGCTGACTCGAGCGGGAGGGACTACAAGGCGCCAACTTGACTTGAGTTGCAGGGCAGAGTTGCAGAGTTCATGGGTGGCGGTAGTTGCTTACCATCAGGTGACTCGTCTGCTCGTTTGCCCCCTTATACCATTAAAAACAAAAAAAAACCGTAATAGTAATTAAGATCTACTTTTAAAATAATTTCTAAGTTTCTTAATCTGTTCTACAAATGAGTACCTATGCGAAATGCAAACCGCCATGATATTACGCCATTAGCGGTCAGAAATAAACTAAGAACTAATAAACTAATTAAGTGATTTCATTTTGTACCTCGTAGTAAGGTACAAAATAATTAATAAAGATCTATTTTACTTACCCCTTAGTATAGAGATATTCTTTTTCTAATATAAGTCCCGTGTGGCTGCCAACAAATACGGAAGGAATCAGTATACCGGTATGGTTCCTTGCTGACATAGCCACTGCACCAAAAAATTAAGTTCATTAAACCCTATTGCTAAAACACACTGCTATTATAAAACACGTACTGCTAATTAATTAATGTAACTTATGATAGTGAAAAGAAAGAAAGGATCTTCTCTTTCTCTAGCTCAGGGATATATCTGTGTCACATCACATCAACAGCCTTTAATAGTCCACTGCTGGGCCTGTTGGTCTAGTGGTTAGTGACCCTGATTGCTAAACCGGAGGTCGTGGGTTCGATTCCCACCCAGAACAAATATTGTGTGTGAGAACGGTCATTTGTTTTGTGTCTGGGGTCTACAATATGTATGTATTTAGAAATATATAAGTATGTTTATTAACAGTCTGGTTACCATAGCACAGGCTCTGCCTAGTTTGGGATCAGAAGGCCGTGTGTGAAATGTTTAAAAACATTATTATTTTATTAATATTATTATTATAAAGGCCTCTTTTTAGAACGACGGTTCTGGCCTACTATACCACGCTGGCCAGACAGGGTTGATATAGAGTTTGTTTCAAGTTTTCCTTCTCTTTGCAGTGCTGTTGTCCTGCTTATTTTGCTTCATTAGTCGGCTCTTACGACACCCAAGAGATAATGGTAGGTACCGATGTTAAGCGGTTCTTTCGTTTTTTTTTTTGAAGAGTGAATGAGGTCACCAAAGCCCAAATTCCCTCGCTAGGGGTAGGGACTAAAGTGAGGCAATGCAATAGTTATTCTTAGAGTTCAAGAGTCCATGGGTGGCAGTAATTACTTGCACTTAATTACGCTGTGCCAGCCGCCGTACAGGATTACAAACGTTCTACTTAGTAATCCATACTAATATTATAAATGCCAAAGTGTGTCTGTCTGTTACCTCTTTACGCTTAAACCGCTAAACCGATTTACTTGAAATTTGGGACAGAGATCGTCCGAGAGCCGGGAAATGACATTGGGTAGAAAACATCCTTTAAGGGGTGAAAAGGAGGATATAAAATCGTATGGGCAATCAATAGCTGCTGAACCGAGTTAGATGAAAATTGATAAGTAGATACTTTGGTTTTTCAGGAAGGACATACCGCGATACCTTATATTAAGGCGGGCGGAGCCGCGGTCAAAAGCTAGTAGCTAATAAATCAGGAACTTAGTATTAGTACCTAATTCGATTACCATTATACCCGTAATCAATAACAACAGCAATATGTTGGGTTCGTTAGTAATTAGCTAATTATTCTATTACTAATACATTTAATAAAACACTGACAAAGATATAATACACGTTACCTTTTTTAGAACTCACTTACGAGTAATAATTGGAAGTGAACTGACCTAATTCATCAGAGTCAACGTTGTGTACGACAGCGCAGTCGTAGCCGGCCGCCTGAGCATTGCGCACCTTCATCTCGAAGCTGCAGTTTTGTCTGATACACAAACGAAATAGTTTTATCATATATATCTGAATAAAACATTACGGTGATGAATCAGCCAAAAGTCCAAAAGAAACCTGGTCACAGAAAATAGTGTTGAGCAATTTTCTTTGTTACATTTTACTGAGTGACTGAAGTTACCGCAGGCACAACACCAGACAGCAGACACTTAAAGTTCAGTTCACTCTAGAGTTGCAGATGTCAATGGGCGCCTTTAATCACCAGATGACCTGTCTTCTCATTAAAACCCAATTTCATAAAAAAAACAGGAAATGAGAATATGATATCATAGTCTATGTTAGCTTTACAGTCGAATTCACGACAGTAGGTTTGTTTACACCTTTAAACCTGACAAAGTGACTACTACTATTCCATACCTATTAATAAGCGCAAGCCATTTTCCAGTGTAGTTCCCGACGCTCGGCGGATTGGCAATGGCAGAGCAGCCATTAGATGGCTCTGCTTTTACGAGAACTCCGCGCAATCCTTTTGGTGGCAGATCGGGCCCGAAAGTGGATGATACGTCAACATAGTCGTCTACAGTCTAAAATTAATACATGGTATCATTTAATTAATAATTAATACACCAAATACTTAATTAATTACACCAAAATCAGTCGAAAATTCTTTACATAAGACCTAAGAGTTTGAATATATAGTTGTATGAGGGCTTGTGTTTTCACCGCCCCCTCCCCCGGACTGACATGCATGCATGGAATACTTAATTAATTACACCAAAATCAGTAATAAATACTTTATATAAGACCTAAGAGTTTGAATATATAGTTGTATGAGCCCTTGTGTTTTTACCGCCCCCACCTCCGGACTGACATTCATGGATGGAACTATCAGGAGGCCCATCCGGACTCAACCCAGTGAACCGCCAGTAGTGCCGCGTAGGCCTGGAGAAGTCGCCCCGAGACCCTAGGTGGGGTCTACGAGAAGAACCACGGAGGAGTAACCGTTGTGCCGCAGTTCTTCAGGTATGTCACCTCGCAGGAGGTGGATCCTCCCTTTGTGTTGGACGCACTCCACAGGCTCAAGATCACAATGATTAATAATTAATTTAAAAAGGTGAAAACGCTTTATTGTACAAAATAAGTAGGCTATATTAAAAATAAGTAAGAAAAACGAGTGACCTGTTGCTGATTACACACAAAGATGTTGGCGCTGACTATAGCAAGCAAGCTCAGTTGAACACCGACGAAAAGAGAGCAAGAAGAAGAAAACATTCTGCCCCTTAATCCAGTCCAACGATGATTCTAAAAGTTAGAGAATGTTTGGATCAGTTTCAACTTGTTTTACCTTAGACATCAACCAAAATAATAATAACCTCGGACATTTCACACAGGGCCGTCTGATCCCAAACTAGGCAAAACCTGTCCCTGAACTATGATATCTAGACTTCTGATAAACATCCTTATATTTCTAAATACATACATATTAGAGATCACACCCAGACAGAGATTAAAATAATAGTCCTCATTATACAATTATTTGTCCTGGGTGGGAATCGAGCCCACGACTTCTTCCTTAACAGTCAGTATCACTAACCACTAGGCATGGGACAAAATCACAGTGAACTGGAAAAGACCGGCGATTTATCATTCGATCTTTCGTACGTAGGTAGTAACCCTACTATTTATTCATGCGTTGTTGCCAATAATCTGTTTACAGACAATGCATAAAGACTCTATTTCGCCTATTTAACGGTAAATCTAGTAATTATTTTATTATATATAGCTACCATTCGTTACATAATAATTAAGAAAATACTAGATTTACTGTTAAATAGTGTCTAAAGTCTAACACCTATTTCAAGAAAAAGCCAAGTCGCAGGTGGACTTGGCGTTCACCAGGCGGCGTGCACAAGAATGAAATTGATTATATACTGTCCAATAGACCGAAGATATTCTTAAACATAGAAACACTAAATCCAAACTTCTCTACAGACCATAGAATGGTAAGAGCTACAATAACTTTAAAAATTGCAAAGAAAAGCCGAATCAAATTCACAAACAACCAAAATAGTACATTGAAAACGAAAGAAGAAATTGAAGCATATAAGAAAAATCTTAAAGACTATATATCAGACTTAGTTGACCATCCTGAGGAGATGACAGTACAGGAAAATTATAACAATCTACTACATGCTATTAACGCCAGTCTACAACGAGCGAGACTAGTTAGGAACACCTCTGTTAGACACAAAATTCTCTCAGAACGGACAATGACATTACTAAATAGAAGACAAATATTACAAAAAACGATAGTCAAGTCTCGATCTGAAAAAAACGAACTTAGCGCCTTATACAAATTAACGAGCAAGTACATAAAACATGACTATAAAAAGTACAGGAATGATATAATACAAACTTACCTAACACAAGGGAAAAGTTTTAAGAAAGCGACAAAAGAACTACGAACAAATAAATCTTGGATTGAGGGATTAAATCAATCAGGACAAACAACACACAATCGTGGGGAAATAATTCATATTGCTACAGAGTTCTATAAAAACCTATACAGTAGGAGCGCACAACAGACAAAAAATAACAAGCAGGAAGAATATAACAGTTACGAACACCTAGAAAATAATATAAACCCTATTGACCAACTTGAAATTATACAAGCAGCTAAAAAGTTGAAATTAGAAAAGAGCCCAGGCCCGGATGGTATTACCAATGAAGCAATTAAAAATGGATGTGAAATACTAGCATCATCACTAACATCATTATTTAATATAATTCTAGAAACTGGGAACACACCTGTACAATGGTCAGACTCCAATATAATCCTACTGTATAAAAAAGGAAACCCTATGGAAATCGGCAATTACAGGCCAATAAGTCTTCTACCAACTCTTTATAAACTCTTCTCTTCCATAATAAACCAAAGAATAACTAAAACTTTAGAAAAAAGGCAACCCATAGAGCAAGCAGGTTTTCGTAAAGGGTTTTCAACTATAGACCATATACATACTCTGGAACTTATTATCGAAAAATACCAAGAAAACCAAAGACCGCTCTACATAGCCTACATAGACTACCAGAAGGCTTTTGACACAATTTCACACAATAGTATTTGGGAAGCATTAAATAAACAAGGCGTAGAAAATGAGTACATACAAGTAATAAAAAGTATATACAATAATAGCGTAAGTAGAGTCAAACTGGAATCAACTGGCCCAAACTTTAACATCAATAGAGGAGTAAGACAGGGCGATCCATTGTCCCCGATACTATTTATTGGAGTATTAGAGATAATCATAAGTAATCTAGACTGGGAAAAATGTGGCTTATACATCAAAGGCAAATACCTAAGTCATTTAAGGTTTGCAGATGATCTGGTACTACTGTCTGAAACCGGTGGCAACTTAGAGGGAATGATACAATCGCTACATGATGCAAGTAGACTAGTCGGGTTAGAAATCAACTTGACAAAAACAAAGATCATGACAAACAGCTATAAAAGAACCATCGCACTAGAACACAAAGTAATACAGTACGTGGAACGGTATGTGTACCTAGGAAAACAGATATCATTTGACAGCAATAGCAACGAATTAGAGGTAGAACGCAGATCAAGAATTGCCTGGAATAAGTTCTGGAGTTACAAGGAAGTGATGAAAAGTAACATGCCAATAGAAGTGAAACAGAAGGTGATGGACTCGTGTATTTTACCATGTCTTACATATGGATGTCAAACTTGGAAATTTACTAACAAAATCAAAAATAAAATAATAACTTGCCAGAGGGGAATGGAACGCAGCATGCTAAAAATAAGAAAGACACACAAAATCCGTCATACAAAAATAAGAAGCATAACCAAAACAATTGATGCTCTCAAATATGCTCAAAGATTGAAATTCAAGTGGGCTGGCCATGTGGCACGACTTAAAGATCACAGATGGACATCGGAAGTAACTACATGGGCTGGTCCTCAGGGCAACCGGCGTGTTGGTAGACCATATATGCGATGGGAGGATGACATCAGAAAAGCCGTTGGACCAGATTGGATCACTGTGGCACGAGACAGAAGCAAATGGAAATCTTTGGAGGAGGCCTTCACCTGAGAGGGGTCCATGTAAATAATTATAAATAGATAAAGGATAAACTATTTAAATTTTCTATTATTATCAAATTAAATTTTATTGTACTCTTAATTTAAATAATGAAATGATTACCATAATAATTTATTGTAATTTATATTTAATAAGAAGTTAAATGGAATAAAAGTTTATACTTAATTATAATAATATTTAACAGTCAAGCATGTAATGTCAAAAAGATTTATTTATTTTTTTACTTTGTTTTTTTTTGTAGATGCATGGAATAAAAGGCTTTTTTATTTTTTTTATTTTTTATTTTTATTTTTATTTATTTTATTTTAGTGTCTAAAGTACCTAGGAGCCAGTAACTGATTTACAAAACCACTGCTACTTAATTATTATTCATACGTTAGCGCAGGACTCGCGAAAAATCTAAATCTCAAAAAAAGGCAGTAATTTTTGAGAAAAAGAATTTATTTTAATGCTATTTATCTTCGTCAATGGCGAAATCACAATCATTTGTGAAATCGCTGTGACTAAAACCAATAATTTCACCAAATGAATGTAATTTAATAGTAGCAATAATTTTAATGTCCACTTGTTAGCCTCGCAAATGTAAAAAAAACGGTCAAAGTTGAATAAATAAACTACGTCGCAAGTAAGGATCTAATTAAATCTTGTATTAACCGTCAACATAAAAATAACGTTTTCCATGCCCAGAAGCTTCTTACTTTTTTAAATCGTAACATACCTATGTCACGTGTTACGCAGTCAATTTCTTGACCAAATTAAAAGATTTAAATTTTCATTATTAATATTTTGTTATCAAACAGGTAGTTGTATTGTATACCACTGATAATGCCTGTATACAGTTTCCTTATTCATTTTTCCTTGTTTGTAAGATAATATTTGTTCACTCTGTTCTAATAAATGGTACTTTAGGTGGATAAAATTGAAACAGATCCCACACTAATAATATTTTTTCAAAGAATAAGAGTAATGTCACTACAGAATAATTTGTATTAAAGTGATAATGATAAACTCAGATTGTTCAATGTCATTACCATCTAAATTTTAATGTTCTTTTTCAGTGTAGGACGCTTTGTGGATCTATTTGTTTTCTTTTTGCTTATATTTCTCGATCGCTTACTTGTTATACGTAGATTATTGATACCATACAATTACACTGTTAATTAAGACGCCAATTACTAGATATTATCTTTATTTTATGTTAATTTCGGCGACCACTGTGCGTTCTTTTTATAAATTTTTTAGTTCGAAAATTGTGGCTTGGCTGTTTGTGTTGGCTTGGCGTGAAAAAGCAGCCAATTCTAACTTATAAAAATACAAATATTTTCTCAACATAGGTATATTTTCACTAAAAAATCATAAGCCAAATAATATATTTTAGGTACTTACAAAAATTACGTTAATTCTGCTTCTTGTAAGTTTGTATCGAAATTCTTGTTGTATCGAAATTTACCTATAATTTAAGAATTCTGAGAACTAATTAAGTTGATCCAACAGTCAGACGATAATTGAGATAAAGGAGTAAAAAGGAATAGTTTTGTAATTTCCTTGTTCGATATATATCGATTTATATTTTAAAAATCGATATTTGTAGTTGGTAATCAAGTATACATAAATATCAATTACGTATTTATAATAAACTTGCAAATTATCAGTATTAAAATTTCTTTAGTAACATAATTTATATGATTTTTTTAAATGGTGCTCGTAATGGTTTTATTAAGGGGGGGAGGGGTAGTATTTTAAAAAGAAATTTCAAGTAAATCGGATCGAAAATAACGATAGACAAATTGACCGTATATTATGGACTATCAATCCGACGCAACCACGATTACGTAAAAAAAAAAAGAAAAATGCGATTTGGGCAACGTACTATCACTACTACTCGACAGATAAGAAACACACAGCTATTCATTCACACACAGCTACAGTGCTCTTCCTACATATGTTACAGAAGATATGAGAGTCTACGAAGACTTGAGCAAGGAAGCCTTTTTGCAGCGGTTGCTTGGAGGTTTCACGCAGAAGAGTTTCAATCGAAATCACAACGAGAGTCTCAATCAACTTATTTGGAAAATCTCTCCAAAACCAGTGATCGGTACGGCAATCGTTGTTAAAATTGCAGTAAATGCATCTGCATGCACCTTCAATCAAGGTGTTTTCCTTTGTTGTCCTTTTTGAATGAAATGGGCATCTCTACAGACCCAAGTGCTCACCAATGGGCGCGCGCATCTGACGAAATACAAATAACCAGAATGAACGTAGAAGCTGCACGTACAAGCAAAGAAGGTAGAATCCAACGCAGACAACAGCAAAAAGATACATTGGACATCCTTAATGACAATGTTTCACTGTATGAAGCTCACATTGATGATTCTGTGCAAGTATAAAAAATTATACCCTTTTATTGATGCTTAATTTTGGATGTTTTTCACATGCAACTGCTGCCAAAAATAAGAAAATGGAAAAAAAGACTTCATTACCTAGGGAAACATATCACCTTTAAACAACATTTTCATTTTTTTGTTTCAGATGATTCGGTAACGAGATTTCGTGTTCACCGGATATCACCTTTTTTCGAGGCGCCCCGGGAGATTCGCTGCCGTCGACTTATTTTTAATATTTTTAATTGTGTTTTTTTTCATAAAATACTTTAGATGTCATATTATTACATGTATATCATATAAATAAACCAAGATCATTCATATCGCCTAAAAAAATGCAATTTGTATGCAAATGAAAGTCTGCAAGTTTTTGGTCTTTAAAACAGTATCTCCCTCACCCAACCGCCCCCTCCCCCCTCCCACCTCTTAACTAAAATAAAAGGATTCGTCATAGTTATTTTGTTGAGGCTGCAAGTAAACGGAGCACTTTGTCTGGAGCGTTTAGAGATCAAGTTATTTTCAAATGTCTTAATTCATAGGGGCAGGTGGCACCCCGGGATACGTTGGGGTACCAGGGATTTCCTTTCTAGGGTACACAAGGGTTTGTAGTCGGTTCGAGTTCGACATTGCCGCCAGTAGGTGGTATCCGAGGGGATTGCCGAACGGAAAAAAAAAGGGGCAGGTGGCAACTGCATAAAATTAATGAAATAAAGAAGTTGTCCACTTTTTGTATGAACGTTGGTGTTTTATTCCTAGTAAAATCCATTATTGCTCTAATTACGCTAATATATAGCAGCTAAAATTATTAATTGGGAATTAGTTAGATAACAATTTTTAAAGCCTGCGTTTAAAAGAAAAATAAAAGTTATTTTGTGTTAGTAGATATTTTTATTGCAGGATGGCAATACTTTAGTCTACTAGATAATTGGTGCTAATTCTGTTGTCTCTAAACTAACTAAACTAAAGTCAAACTAAAAATTAGTTAAGTCCTTTCAAACAACGTTTCGTATTCTGAAAACGTAGGACTTAACTAAGTATATTTAGTTTGACACAACCAAAATTAGTTAAGTTGCGTAATTTAGCCCGTATTTGGTCATTTGTTATTTTGTTGTACGTTCTAATAGTCAAAGATTAAAAATTAGACGTTATCAAAAAACATACCGACTATTTTGTTGATTATACTGTTTAAGTTTAAATTCTTTAAATTTTGTGTTTTTTTTATGTACAGCGATTACATCTTTTAGCTTTGGGCATAATATTTTTCATCTAAAATCACAATTATATTATTTTCATGTATCTCATCTGGATTATGAAGACTAAAGAATACGCTTAGAACATATTCCAGACAACTCCAATCCATTTAAGATTGCAGATGAGAAGTTTCAGAAACTTTTTAGTCTCCCTAGCCTAAGTCTGGAGCTTAGCTTAGCGAAACTACTTGAACAATTAAATCTTTTTTCAGGTTAAACCTACATACCAACCAAGCTGCTGCAAGCCAGACCGCTTAACAAAAAAAATAAGCAAAAAATATAAACAGGTCGAGCGAAGCGAGCAATCAATCTATGCATTTTTATGATACTCTTTACTGACATGTAATTCATGTATAGATCTAAAATTAAAATATTACATATATTACATTTAATAAAAATAGAAAACGTGTTCTGATTAATTATAATTTTATTGTATGTATTACTGACGCCTATATATTACTATTTTTCCTCTAGACTATTACTACTTACGCCATCAGTTAGAAAACTAAACAATAAATATCGAAAAAGGTTTCCCGCGGCTTGCAGGTATGTGAACTGTGTTTATTTAGCTATAACTGAGAAATACATTTTTTTTTTACTATTTGATCTATAATATGCATTTGGATTTTAAAATTAATTAAATAAATTTAAAAGGCCAGAAAATATCGTTTCAAAAGATTTTATTCATCATTATCATCATCAGCCTATCGCAGTCTACTGCATGCATTTTGGAAATCGCCTTACTAAAATAAGATAATTTTTAGTTCAGTTGTGTCAACAACAGAATTAGCACCAATATTGTTTATTCACAAAGATAAATCAATAGTAGGTAACGCTTTTCGCCTAAACACGACGTAGTTTAGTATACAAAACACCCAAACTCCAAAACAAACATTTGCAAATCATACAAAGATTTGAACCCGAGACCTCAGCTCAGCATATCATACCCTTGTCTTAAATATATTTTTTAACTCATGGATAATTACGACAAATGAAAAAAATGTACCGAAAATCTACTAACAATTGCAAAATCTAAAGAAACGATATAAAAACAGGTTCAATGACAGGAAATAAATATTGAGCTAGTAAAGGCAAATTAATACTTCATGTAAAAGTTAAAGCAAAAATATTGTTTCTAATTGGTAGAAATTGTAATCATGGAATAGCCATACTATGCGTTTAAAAACTACGTCTTATCATTTATATTTTCAAACACAGATTATTTTCAAAAAAGAAACTATTATTTATCATTTTTTGTAGTGAAAATGACGTATGATGACTTTTTCTATAGGTGTTTAGGATTTTATAGGTGTTTTCTGAAATTTTTAACATCATACTTCAGTGATTACTTCTTAGTTTTATAAATTGTTTATCAACATAGTTTTCGAATGTTCTTAGTTTTGACGTTTAGCTAATTTTCCTGCATCAAGGAAGGAATGAATTAGTCGTAATAATATATTTTTTTCATTTTGATTTTGTCCAAATTCTCATGATAAAGTGGTTTATTGACAAAATTAGTATAAGAAAATAACTGCGCGAGATAGAGTGTCGCACTATTTATTGTAAGTACTGTTCTATCGCAACGATTGAAGTGTTTAGTACCCGACTTATTCGCAGTGTTTTATTTTGTTTGTTCACATTTGAGAGTTATTGTTGTCAACAAACACGTGATCCGGGGCCGACACTTGTCTAAATAATTAATTGAATTAACTTATTTGCTATGGACTGAGTAACAATTTCCTTATTAAACTCGTATTCACCATAGAGTTAACTAATGTTAAAATTACGGGTCCGAAACGTTATTGTGTGATCATTATTTCCTTTGTGCATCACTATGATTAGCGTTATATCATTTATTTTGAGATTTTTGAACTAGGTAAAGGTGTGTGAAAGATTATTGCCTGTTTAATGACTCATGAGTTACACAGTGACCATTTGACAGCTGTATCAAAATATACAGTTTAAGTTGATGTGTAAATAAAAACAAGGAAAAATAAAAGTAAATACTGTAAACTTGCCCTCTCTGAGTTACATTGTGAATTCTAAGATTAAAAGTATAAAAATCTTTCATGTACACATACACTTGTATGTTGTGTAGTATATACATAAATTAGTGTTGTAATACAGGAAACTTTTCAACATGGTTGTGTACACTAGAAGTAGTTCATAATAAACTACTGAAACAATACATTATGTAAGAATAGTGATTTAAACTACATCAAAGGAAGTTTGTGAAGGTAAAAGTAAATAAAAATTAACTATGACTTGTATGTTCTATTTATTTTATAACGAGAACTTAATTTTTAAATTATGAATACAATAAAATTACAAAATAAATTTAATGTGTGTTGTAGGCATTAAGCTAGAATCCTATTTATGCTTCTATTGCTACCTATATGTTTATTATTTCCATCATCATGTTCTTAAACATATTTACTTTTTAATTATTTTTATTGTACACAATTCAGTAATATAAGTAATACAAACATGTTAGCATTATTTGGCACTCATACTCACTCACTCATACACACTCACTCATACTCACTCATGGCAATCTTTGCCAAAACCTACATAGGTGTAATACATATTGTACCAGGGACTTCCTTTCTAGGGTATACCTGGTTCCCCGGCTATTAGTACCCGAGACGGAGTGCGGTTTTAGTCGGTTCGTGTCCGGCATGCCACCGACAGGTGGTATCCGAGGGGATTTCCGCACGAAAAAAAAAAAAAAAAAAAAAGGTGTAGTACATACGAATGTACTCAATTCTGACTATAGGAATTGTTGTTTGTGTGCTCTGTACAATAGAGCAAGCTATTCTCTGGTTTTTTAAATAAAATGTTGACATGTTTTTCCCTTTAGAAAATGTATTCTTCACATTTAAAATATTAATTTTCTGCCTGACAGGTAAACAAACCATGCAACAATCTCTTCAACCTACATATGCATGCGTAGGATCGCATGAGACTTGAAAGAATTGCAGTAAGCACATGTGAAGTGCTCGCCCGAAATGTTGCACACCATCATCACTGGGGCCCTTCTGAGCCTGGTGTCCATTGTCGCAGGCGAAATTATGGTTTATACACAGGAAACACCACCCATAGTGAGTACTTGTTTTTAATAATATTATTATTAATAGTGTAGTATATTACTGTGTATTGTTAGCACTGTCAGAGAAAGAAAAAGGATAATAATGACTCGGCAAATATATTTGTGCCTCTCCCCACTCGTCTCCCGTTTTTAGTGCTACAAGGTCACAAGCAATAACATGTCTTTATTTCCCAAAAAAGAGAACTGTCAAAACTTTGTTCTATTTGTGTTTGTGCATAAAAAAAAGGTCAGTTTTGTTCTTAACTTTTTGTTTTATTAGAACGCCTTTATATTATACAAAATTTGGTAAATTTTTGATTGATAATAGATTGCTAAATTGACAAATTGCTTTTTTGTACTGTATGGGCCTAACTTGAAAGTGTTTTTTCAATCAATGTATGGAATTTATAGTAAAAGCATTTTCGAAAAATAAGCTGGAACGTAAGAATCCAGAATCTTTGAAAACTAATTAATTGTATTATGCCTTTATATTACTAAGAGTGCAATATGATAGCATGGTAGCCATCAACTATCGCTTCCACAAAACATTGTAGAAGCACTACAGTAATTTTTAACTACATTATAGTTTAAGACTTTTATTTAAATAATTTATTCAAGCTAAATTACGACACCGGAAACGTTATTAGTTTATGTAAAAATCTACATATTGTTCGTAACGTAAGTTTGTTGACTTTTCTTTGTAAGTGAATAAGCCGGCTCACACGTCACAGCTGTGCGATTTTCTGTCGTACTGCAATCTGAACAGAATTCGGAACTTTAGATACTACGAAATTATTCGCCGAGACTGATTGTTCCGGAGATCGGATTGTTTATTTGGATTGTGTCACGATACCATTTCACATCATGACGCCACTAGGCTTTATCTAATCGAAATTTTGATTTTGATGAAAATACTGCCAATATTTAAGCAATTCTACTTACTATTTACAATATAAAAAGTAGCATCCATCAGTTACAATGATACTTTAAAATACTGTAGACACAACAAACGAATAATAAGTGAAGGTTTTCTCCATGTAAGTCACCTAAGCGATGGTTTTAAATCCCGGTAATTCCCCTAGCAAATTAAAGCATGACCGACATAATACGCTGGAGCTTAGGAATAGTGAAACTATCGACATAGTAAATTAGTATATCGATATATTTTACGACTTTGCTATCTTGGTGCAGCACTGGTCCTAGCCCTCGGTTAGAGTTTTCTTTTAGTGTGCTTTTCTTTAACTTACGTTCATTAACAACCAAAAACTTCATAACAAATATTAATGATTATGACATTTAAATTAAATAATTCTTCGTGTTCGTTTCATTCTGTCACTAAATAATAAAATATTCTGTCTATATTTGTGCTGTCTTGGTGTAATTTATCTATAATATGTATTTAAAAATTTAATAATAATATAAAAATATTGCCCGAAATCTGTTACACAGTACATAGTACAGGCTCTGCCTAGTTTGGTATGAATTAGACAGCCGTGTGTGAGATTTGTGAGGTTATTTTTTGCATTTCGCTTGTTTGGCGACCGTTGCCACCGCCTAGAGTGACCACCCCATTCGCTCTACTCCAAGGCCGGGTGTCGTAGTCAGACAGCCAGCCGCTGATAACTCTATACAAAACGCACACTATAATCCTCTTGATACAGTAATCGGTCAGCTGTCACGTCTAACACTGTATTAAACATCAATTGATTCGTTATTGCTCATGAATTACTGAGTCATTGAATTATGCGATAAATAAAACAGTACTCGACTCGACATACGTAGAATAACATATTTTATACATAGTGCACCAGTAAAACATTCATAACAATTTTCATAATTAGACATAGCTTTTTTGCCTATCTATACATCTATACAAATAAATAAAATTGGAGTGTCTGTTTGTAATATTAAAATTTATATGTATGTTTACACGGTACATATGCCAAAATAACATTTTTTTCAATTTTTGTCTGTCTGTCTGTCTGTCTGTCTGTTTGTTACGGGTAATCTCTGGAACGGCAGGACCGATTTCGACGGGACATTCACTGGCAGATAGCTGATGGCATAAGGAGTAACTTAGGCTACTTTTTTTAGACTAGCTTCGCCCCGCGCTAAACATTAAGTATGCCAAATATGATAATGTTTTCTTGCTGTATTTGTTTAAAAAGGGGTACAATTTTATTCACTTTTTATACGAAAATACGTACGTAGATAAATATCTAATCACGTAAATAAATAAAGTGTAATGAATGGCATATAAATTTAGTGCAGCCATTCATATTCATATTTCGTGAAAGAACGTTAAAAAATTATATAGCCTTCATGGCAAACATTTTTTTAATATTTTCTTATTAAAATGTAACATCTTTTCTTTCACTTTTCTGCAACCTGTGGGAGTGATTTCGTGAAAAAGGACGGAAGTGTGTAACAGGAATCCGGGAAGCGCTAGATGTCAAATGCTACTCATCATTCGCTCTTTGAGAAAGAAAAACCGGACAAGTCAGAGTCGGAATCGCCCATCGAGGGTTCCGTACAAATTTGTAATCGAAAACTATACATCATAAACATAATTAAAAATCTGTTTAAGCTTGTGCTAATGTAGCCCTTTCATACGACCCAGATGACACGGTTAACTCTATTCAAAATTTGAACCCATTTGAACTTGCATTGAGACCCTGTTTTTTTATGATTTAATTACAAATGTACCTATAGCTTTCGTAGTATAAGACGGTATTACTTGCCAAATCTCATAGTTCTAGATCAACGGAAAACACTCTTTAAATTTTGATTCCCTTGAGTGTCGAAATATATAATACGTTTTTTGAGGCATAAACGGCCGCATCTTCTTTTACATAAAATTAGAAGTTTGATTTTTTCACAACTTATGTAGACTGTAGATCTGAGTATATTGTTTCAATTTCAACTCGATACCTTCACGCGTTCCCGAGATAAAGGGTCTTGACAGACAGACAGACGTACGGACAACAAAGTGATCCTACAAGGATTCTGTTTTTTTCTTTTTGAGGTACGGAACCCTAAAAATAATGAACAATAACATAGTCTATCAGCCTAATTATGATTGCAGTTTTAAAACCTCTATAATTTTGCACCTCTTGTATAAACACTGCTATATTTTTAACGTTCAAACAACTGAATGAATGAGACACACATGTCGCTCAATACTGTCAATTTTTCACGTCAAGAAGCTAGATCCTGTAGTAGCTACATTCATAAGAAATAGCAAACTGAAACAGTGCCTTGCAAAATATAATAAAATAAAAATAAAATAATAAAACAAAATCAATTTAAAAAGAATACCTACTTCTTTCGTAATATTGAAACTTCCTGGGCCTCGCAATTATTTTTTTCTTTTTAATTAAAATTTGTTAGAAATACCCTCTGTCTAGAGACATGCAGAATTAAGATATTAACTAATGGGCTTATATTATCATTAAAAGTAATGGTTAAGACATAGTTTACGTACCTAATGTTACTCCCGATCCCTCTTAGGAATAAATCTAACAGTTCTCTCCATCTCTAGCAGTATAAATATATACCTATATATATTTGCTTTTTGAAGGTTTTTAAAAACGTTAAATGGCCACTCTTAGGTTTTATTTTCTGCCTGTTAATGTAACAAAAATCACCCGCGCGTACTAAAGAACGCGTCTGAGACGGTCAAGAGATTTTCATTGTTTGGTTTCATACTTGTAACGTTTGAGTAGCTGGGTCATTCAACGTTATTTTCATGAGAATGACAAGGCATCGTGTGACGTTTAAAGTCAAAGGGTTTAGTGTTAGTTTATTTCACTTCTACTGGATCGGTGATCGCTTTTGGCGTTTTGATTGGTGTAGAGTGCGGGCCCATAGCAGCGCCGAACGCGGTCAGCGTGACGATCGAGTTGATGTGAAATAAACTCGCACTAGGCCACAGTCGACGACCGAATGGCGTAGTGGTTTGTGTAACGGACTGCTATTCCAAAGGTCGCGGGTTCGATTCCCGCTCAAGTCAAGCATTTGTGTGCATGAACATTTAATGTTTGATTTGGTCTGGGTGTTTCTATGTATAATATGTATGCATTTACAAAAAAAAAAGTAAATATGTATTTATATCAGTTGTCTAGTACCCATAGTACAAGCTCTGCTTAGTTTGTGACTAGATAGCGTTGTGTGAATGTGGTAGAATATTATTATTATTATTACAGTGCGGGCCAATCGCTACGCCGTGACTCGTTGATGTGAAGCAAACTGACACTAGGGCGTCAGGTCTTAATGTCGGTTAAGTAAAATAACTGTATAAACAAATTTACCGTGGGAGAGCTTACAACACGTATGGGCTCCTAATTCATGAACTCAAAAGCCAAGAACGCAGTTGTGACTCTTTAGTTACAGATGTCTGTTGGCGGCGGTAGTTACTTACCATACCCGTCCAATCATTTGCAATAGCAAGAGGGTCTATACCATAAAATATTCGGTTCCGAGGATTAGAATGTTATTTGTTAAGGTCATGCTGCTTGAGTTTGCCTGAAGACTGGGAATTTAAAAAAAAGAACAGGGAAGCTTAGTGGCTGTGTATAAATATTTTATTTAAAAATACTCGGGCTGAATTTTTCTTATCTTTCTACTCTTCATCTCGCGAAGTGATTCTCCCTCCATGTGCTCGTAGTATTGACATGTTGACTACTTCTAAACTTTGACTCAGTTGAATTTCCGTTATCCTGATAACTATACCACGAAAAAAGCATACATATGTGTGTAATTACCTACCTACGTCGCAGTTATTCCACAAGGCTACTGATTTAAACCACATGGTATCATGACGCATATGTTCAAAGATCACATGTGTACTTCCTTCGCAAGTACTTACAAGTTGTGAGTTACATATTACAGTAAAAGACAGAACAAATTATCGTGCCCATCATACAATTTATTTGTCCGTGGTGAGAATCGTACCCACGACCTCTGCCTTTGTCTGTCAGGAACGCTAACCCTCCCAATTATAATATATATCCT